GATGGTTGTGAGCCATCATGTGGGTGCCGAGAGCCAAACCGTGGGCCTCTGTAAGAGCAACAAGTGATCTTAACTGCTGAGCTGTCTCTCCAGTCTCCACGGGCACCTTTTATACCCAGGCTTCCTCTTCCCTCTCTTGGGGTGAGTGTTTGAGAATGGTTTCTATGTTTCGGAGCTCTACTTTAGAATAATGATTGCTTATCTCATACTAAAGCTATTGATCCATTATAAAGTACATTTATCTGCTATTGCACAGTTTAATTTGTCTAATTTATCCTACTATAAAGGCTGTAAAAATAGACTTGATTCTTTGGAGAAGGTATCTTACTCTTCTATCTTGGGTTTTGTTTGTTTTGTGGTTGTTTTGAGACTGGGGTTTGCCATGTAGTGCAGACTGGTCTCAAAGTTGTGATCCTCCTGCCTCAGCCTCTGGAATGCTGGGATTACAGGTGTGTACCACTACTTACAGCATTTGTACTTGATTTTAATACATTAAAATATTTCCAAATGAGGGGCTGGAGTGATGGCTCAGTGGTTAAGAGCACTGGCTGCTTTTGCAGAGATCAGGATTCAGTTCCCAGCACCCACATGGTGGTTAACAATCGTCTTTAACTCCAGTTCCAGAGGATCCAATGTTCTCTTCTGACATCCATGAGCATTGTGTGACATAGGTGCACTTAAATACATGCAGGCAGTATATTAATACACATTAAAAAATAAAAATATTAGGAAAAATATTTCCAAATGAGCCACGCATGGTGGCACAAGTCTTTAAACCCAACTAAGGCAGAGTCAGGTGGATCTCTTGAGATCAAGTTCAGCCTAGCCAGGGCTACAGAGAGATTCTGTCTGGGACAAAAACTTCCAGATGAAACTAGCGAGTTCAAGAAGAAATCAGGCAGGGCACAGTCAAAGTAGATCATTCTTTTTAGAGAAAAGATGGACAAATTCTCTTTCAATTTCAAGAAGTTGAGTTCTGTTAGCCTGGCCATTGAACTAACCTGTTTGGGCTCTAATCTTTCCAATCCGCTATCTTACTGACTTCTTTCAAGACAGAATGCTCATTTTAGTTTAGTTTTTTAAAGCTGTTTGAGGCTAATCATAATTAAATCTTGAGCCCAATCCACATGTCTGACTGATGGTGAATAGCCCAAAGCTGCTCAGCTCCTTCCCCATCTTCCCAAGTTAAAGTGATGCCCAGACATGTGAAATCCCTTGTTATCTGAGGGCCAGTGCAGCTCACTGGCTGCTGAGAACTTTCCTTCCATTCATGCAGCCAAGCAGAGCCCGGTCCTCCTCCTGTCCTGCATCGGGTCTTCATGCCAAGGGCTTGAAGCCTCCAGATCTCAGTGCAACTCTTAAGGATCCTGGGAAAGGGGATGCATTCAGCAAGCTCTGTCCTGAATTAGGCTTATGGGCAATAACTACCTGATTAAAGGTCTCAGACTTTGCAGGCAGGTTTACCAAGAGCCAGCCCCAAATCCAAATTGTTCTTGGCCACATGTGACTCCCGCTTCCACTGAAGCCACTGTGAAGAGTAGTCTCTTTACCAGAAGTCACGTTCTAGAAATGTGATGGTGAAGGCGAAGAGAGTGAACTGAGGGTGAGTGGAACGGCCTGGAACAAGAGTATCAGAACTTTCAGCAGACAAAGATCCCTCAGTATTCACTGGTGATCGTTCCAGAGTCTTCCATGTACCCTGCACACATCCTCCTGTACTTTAGAACACCTCCAGACCACTGAGAATACTCAATGCAATGGAAATACTATGTAAATAGTTGTGGGTTCTTTGGATTTGGGGTGGGGGCTTCGAATTTAATCCTGGGCCTTTTTTATGCTTGACAAGTGCTCTACCACTGAACTATACCTCCATCTCTGAAAATAGCCATTATACTATATTCACATTGTTTAGAGAATAATGTCAAGAGAAAAAAATCTACCTATTCAGTATAGATGCGAATTAATTTTTCGAGTACTTTCTATCTGCAGTTGGCTGGATCTATGGACGTGGAACCTATGGATATAGAGGGCTGGCGTAACCCTAACCCTAACATGTCCCTCTGCACAGAGCTGGGCGGCAGCAGTCAGCACCAGACCTGCCTTACTGTTTGGTAGAGCCTTTTCGGCTCCACTTTAATCCGTTCCATTCTTCATTGTTTAAAGGCTTCATTTGGAATGAGCCAGGCCCAAAGATTTACCTTTGGAGAAGAGATGAAGTCCTGGTAAGATTCTCAGGTGTCCGTGGCTCTGCTTGCTGAGGCTGAGTTTTCTTTGTGCACCTTGTGGTTGGTATTTTCAGAAACACACTGAATTCTTTTCTTCCATGTGGAAGTCTGTTTGTCCGTGGGCTCATGCTGGGATTTGGAAGCCTGATGTTTTTGTTGCTTCTTGCTTTTCTGTTGCCAAGCTGTTCTACTCATTGGGTGGTAAAAATCTCCATAAGTTGCTCTCCTTGCTTAGTGGAATGTCCGTGTAATGACAGTGTCAGTGCCTTGCATATGTGTAGTGTTTCGTTGGTTTTCGGAGCGTTTTTGCATCTATTACCTCATTGTGTAAGGCTGACCCAGGCATTCGATGTTTAATCACTGTTTTGACCAACATGGGTAATTTTTCTTTTGTCTTCCAGTTTTCCCGTTCCCCACTCTCCCGTTATTTTCTTCAATGACTGAAGGGCAAGGGATTTTTTTAAACTCTGGGAAAGCAATACTGTTTTCTAATGGCAAAGTGAAGGCAACGTGGCTGCTCTTTATAAATCAGCCCTGAGACTCATGTTCCACTTCCTGGGTTTATAGCACCTTAACTGCACATGCTTACCCACACATTTTTTTTTTTTAGCAATATCAGTTAAACATCTAGAGTGGAACTAATATGTAAGTTAGATCCATATAATCCTTTTGTGAGTAGGTTGCTTTTTGTTTGTCTGGTTTGAGTTTTATGCTTTAGAGATACATTTTTCTTTCTCAACTTAGAGCTTTGGTACTGTAAATTTATCACTGTTATCATTGCTGTGTGGCCCAAGCAGGCTATGAGCTCTTTATTGTCCTGTCTCAAGCTCCTGAGATTACAGGTGTATGCCACCTCACTCACTTTAGGAGATAACACTCCTCCCATGTGTGAGCCAGCTTAGTAGATGACCTTGAACTCGGGCCTTTACACAGGTACACGAGCACTCTACCACTGAGCCACACCACCATCCTATTCCCTGATGGAAAAATTGTAATTTCATTTCTGTTCTCTCAGAATTATATTATAGTGCAGTCCATAACTTTGGAAATACAAGGTGCTTTAAGTTAAAGCCTGGAAGGTGGTTGTTTTAAAGGTTTTCTTTCCTTTTTCTTCTTTCTTTCTTTGGTTTTTTTTTTTTTGGTGTTTTTTGTTTGTTTGTTTGTTTTTGTCTTTTTGGCCTGGAACTTGCCATGTAGACCAGGCTGGACTTGAACTCACAGAGCTCTGCCTGCCTCTGCCTCCTGAGTGCTAGGATTATAAGTGTGCGCCACCATGCCCTGCTTTAAAATTTTTCTTTAGAGTATTTGGGAAACTCCTTTGACAGACCCAGGAACTCCTTGAACTCATTTCTCACTGCCCCAGGCATCCCATATCCAGTCTCCCTCATTCCATCCCCAGGTATTGGGTGTACCCTAGATGCTGGGAGTGTCTAGAGTTAGCTAATCCACAGAGTATCAGGGTTCAGAGGCGCCAAGCAGGTTGCATGGGCTCCCCACATTCCCTCTGTACCATCTTTGAGTGGCCAGTGAGCCTCAGCCACTCCATTCTAAGGAAGTGGAAGACTCAGATAGTGGAGCCACGTCTGTCTGCCTGCTGCTTCTATTCAACAAACAGCAAATGCCTACCGTGTACCAAGCACTGTTCTAGGGACTGAAGTCATCACAGAATTCACAGTCAGAATCATCTTATGGCTAGCTCTACCTCTTGGATCACTGAAGGAAAACCAAAGAGTTCTGCACAGAAGTCATTCAGTAAATAAAAAGCATAAAGAAGAGCTGGTTATAGGATCACGTGCCTGTAATCCTGTCACCCCAGAGGCTGAGGTAGGAGGATTGCTATGAGGTCAAGGCCACCTGGGCTATATGGTGAATGCCAGGCAAGCCAGGCTACATAGCAAGATCCTGTCTCAAGTAGAATAAAATAAAATATCAAGAGTGAATTACCTATAATTTATCACTCACTGTTAAAATGCATATTTCTTCTAGCCTTTTCCAACCTGCATCTGTTTACATACTTGCGATCAAAATACATAATTTATAATTTTGATTCCTGAGGTGTTTTGGGGAACAGTGCTGGAATTTTTTTCTCTGTCAAATGAGATCAGACTACAGTGGGGGTAGAACCCAGGTCTTGCAAGCACTCTAGATAGTATCCCTTGAATTCTGTTTCTCTATCTAACATTGCCATTTGAATATTTAAGATGTATGTTCAGAAAGGCCAGTTAGCTGGATGTGGTATCACACAGGCCTATAGACTCAGCACTTGTAAAAACATGGGGCAAGAGGATCTTGAGTTTGAGGCTAGCCTGGCCTATGTAGTGAGACCATATTTCAAAAGAAAAAAAGAACATTTAGGTGGTTACATAACATTCCAGTCAGATCTTCTTGAGGTTAAGTCATGGAAGAGTGAGGCTGGGGTTCCAGAGTGGGCAGCGCTGCCTTGTTGAAACCTTCAGCCTCCTGAGCCACTGCTCTTGGAGCATCACCAGTCCCTCAAGGAAGGAGGGTCAGGCTGCATCCCTGCCGTTGATTCTTCTAACCTGCATTATCTTGATGCTCTGCTTTCTTGTTCTTCCTCTCCATTCCTTGTGTCATAATCATGCTCGGCCCATATGCTGGAGGACTGGTGCCTTCTCGTGACGTGTACCAGGATGTCCATGCGGCTGCTTTGAGGCTCTCTTCCTGCTAGATGCAGTCTTGAGAAGTCTTGGAAGCAGTTCTTCAGGTGGCCTAAGCGCTGAGAAGCTCAGAGCTCACTGTGGCCCTTGCTTGCAGGCCTGCAGCTGAACCAGAAGGCCCTCACCACCTTCCCGGATGTCGTGGTTGTGCGAGTGTCCACACCTTCCGTGCAGTCTGACAGCGACATCACCGTCCTAAGGCACCTAGAGAAGCTGGGCTGCCGCTTGGTCAACCGCCCACAGAGCATCTTAAACTGCATCAACAAGTTCTGGACATTCCAAGAGCTGGCTGGACATGGGGTACCCATGCCAGATACCTTCTCCTATGGTGAGTATCCTGGAAATACAGTTGAGAATTTCTTTTTTTTTTTTTTTTTTTTTTTTTTTTTTTTAAAGGGGGGTCCCCTTTACCCCCAGCTTGGCTGGAACTCACTATGTAGACCAGGCTGGCCTTGAACGCAGAGAGATCTCCTGCCTCTGCCTCCCAAGTGCTGGGACTACAGGCGTGTGCCACCATGCCCCAGTGAGAATTTCTTTTAAGCCACTGGTGCCTCTCCCTCTCTCTCTCCCTCTCTCTCTCCCTCTCTCTCTCCCTCTCTCCCTCCCTCCCCCCTCTCTCTCCCCTCTCTCTCCCTCCCTCCCTCCCTCCCTCTCAGTTGTCTCTTGTGTGAGTCTGTTCATCTTAGGAGACTCAACATGTGTCTTTATGCTGACCAACCCCTCTGCCTGCAATGTCTTTGTTGCCGTCTGTAAGGCATTCACTAAACATGCATTGGCTGCCATAAGAGGCTTTGCATTATAGTAGGAAGAGTTTTACCCTGAGGGCATTCCCACCTCATCTGAGGCAGAAGACAGCAAGTATATGAAGTATATAGGCAACTTCAGTGCAGTGTGGTCAGTGTTCCTGAGTGATACAGAAGTACCTAGGAGAGCTCCTGCTGTGGTTAGAAGACATCAAGGACCACTTCCTTAAAGGGATAACAGTAAGCTAAAAGAAGGGCTGGCTGAGTAGGGAGCGAAATAAGAGTAAAGAGAACGTGATTAACTGTCAGTTAGTTGCCAGTAGTTGAAGGAGGTTAAGTGTGTGAGCTCCTGAGAGAGTTATGAATGAGACTGGACAGATAAGAGGGTGCTGCATACAGCATGTCAAGGAGATGGAGCTAGCCAGAGACTGACAGGTGTTGTGGTTAGGGAGTGGCTGTCAGAGTCACCTTGTAGATCACATGGCTACTGTATGGCGAGTGAGTGACACGGGGTAAGTAGTGGTAGACTTCTTCAATGAGTGAGCAACGATGGCATGCACTAAGAGTAAGAGTGAAGGCTGGTGAGCAGATTCAGGAATTACAGAAGCAACAGAAATACAGGGCAGGATGTCTGACCACCTCTCGGAGAGGAATCACAGTGACTGACTTGTGGTATGGATCACCAGGTATGAACACAAACATGAGCTGAAGCAGCAGCACAGGAGGGAGAAACAGATTGGTGATCAGGGTGAGTGGCTGTAGCAGAGATGATTCTGGTGTAGACGAGGTCTATTTGAGGTGTTTGTAGTATGTGCACGTGACAATGCTTGTAGGTTGCAAGAAATGAATCTGGAGCTCCTGAAAGAAGACTGGGGAAGAGGGTGTGGGAGGCTTATTACGTTGAGTGAAGTCACAGGAATAAGAGGCAAGTCAGTGAAACCATGCAGAATAAAGTAGAGGGCTGGAGGTTCATGAGGAGGGGTTCATGCCTGTTTTATGCTTTGTATATGTTGCCACAATGAAAAGATAAAGTTGAGCTGGGTGTGGTGATACATACCTGTGAAACTGACACGTGGGAGGCAGAGGCAAGAGGATCACGAGCCCGAGGCTGACATGGGCTATATAGTGAGACCATCTCAAAAACAAGCAATACACAAAAAATAAATATGTTTTTAAACCTTTTTTCTTTTTACAGCATTATGTGGCTCCTGGAGGACAAGCAGCATGGGCAGTCAGGTACATGTTGAATTTAGCAACAGAAAGTATGATGGAGGCAGCTTTAGTTCAGTGATGGGGAGAGAAGCCATGTTGTGAGGGGTGAATAGCTGAAGGCCAAGTTGTGTACCCCATGACTTCCAAGTAGCCTGATGGTGGGCTGCAGAGTTGTGCTTGAGAGGTGATGTTTACGATGGCAGAGAACTGAGCATTTTCGGAAATAGAAACATTGAAAAAGAATGGTTTAGCCAGGCGTGGTGGTGCTCACCTTTAATCCCAGCACTTGGGAGGGAGGCAGAGGCAGGCGGATCTCGGTGAGTTCAAGGCCAGCTTGGTCTACATAGTGAGTTCCAGGCCAGCTGGGGCTACAGGGAGACCCTATCTCAAAAAGACCAAAAAAAAAAGAAAGAAAGAAAGAAAGAAAGAAAGAAAGAAAGAAAGAAAGAAAGAAAGAAAGAAAGAAAGAAAGAAAGAAGAAAGAAAGGAAGGAAAGGAATGGCTTAATAGTATAGACCATCAAGGGGGTGACAGAGTCCAGGCTGTAGATGGAGCACAAGTGTCTCGCTGCACTAAGAGGATGACCAGAAAGAAATTCAGTTCATCAGTTGAATGTTAGGAAGTTGGGAGCCCCTCTCTTATAAAATATCATCTTCCTGAAGATGCTCTCATCGCCTACATTTCTTCCTTATTATTCCAAATCAAATCCTTTGCATTTTTGTGAATACTAACAGCGTGTATTGTTAGTATTATAAAATATGTTGCCTTGCAAAACTTGATGAACTAGGATACCATAGTGGGCAAGAATACTGGCTTGCCCCAAATGCCCATGACCCAATCCTTGGGACTAGTGAGTGTGATAGATGCCATAGCAAAATGAGATTGAGGTGGTGGATGGTGCCATGATGGTGGCGCACATCTATAATCCCAGCACATGGGAAGCTGAGGCAGGGGGATTCCAAGTTGGAAGCCAGCCTGGACTATGTGTCTCAAAATACAAGATCAAACAAATACAAAAAGGTTGCAGATAAAGTTAAGTTTGCTAATTAGATGACTTGAAAATAGGGGTCTTGCTAATCTTGAATTATCAAGGTAGGCTGAAGGTAGTAAGTATCTTTAAAAGACCGAAGCAGAAGATAGTCAGAGGGAGATGCAATTGTGGAAGGATAGAGTGAGGAGGTGCAAGGAGGGCTTTGCCATTGCTGACTTTCAGGATGGAAGAGCCAGGCAGGTGTAGAGCCTCTCAGAGCTGGAAAACTTAAGGAAACAGATTCTCTCCTGGGAATGTAGCTTGTTGGTCCCTTGATTCTAGCTCTAGCGGAGGGAGACCCTTGTCAGACTTAGAACTATAAGACTGTAAGACGATAGATTTATGTTATTTAAGTTGCCAAGTTGTCTATTTATTTACAGCAACAAGCTAATGCTTCAACTAATGAACCTGTAAGACACATCTGTCCAGGACAGTTTTGACCCCCTAACCACCCTGGTGTGTGCCACAGATCCCACATCGAGCCTCATCCTTCAGACCCTCATCTGGAGCTGTGCTTTCCTGAAATCACCTCACTCAGTGTTTTCCCCTTCATAAGCCCTTAACTGAGGAGAAGTGCGATGACGGCTGCCTGACCTCCCTGACAGCACAGAGAAGGGTTAGTTGGTATCCTTACAGCAAACAAGGTTGTCTTGCCAAACACCAGGCACAGGAACCAAAAAGCATGCTCACTGGGTGCCATTGAATAGAGAGCAAATGTCATCCCCATGGACATGGTGGTAATGTTCACAACATTAGTCCTACGTTTTCAAGGAGAGATTATGTTCAATGTTAAGGAAGCCAATGAAGTGTGTAAGATAATCTGCAAAGATTTTCCTGAGCAATACTATTTTTTTTAATTAAAAGTAAAGGATGTTAAGCAGCCAGTTCAGGCTTTGAGTGGGACCAGTCTCCAGGCTCGGTTCCTTTCGGTGATTGTTTTCTTTTGCTCTATGACAAACTGCTGAAATCATGGCACTATAGCATAATATTCATTGATTAACTCAGTTTCTGTGGGTCAGAAGTGTCCAGCCCCAGCATAACTGGTTTTCCATTCAGGATCTCGCCAGGCTGATATTAAAGGGCCAGCTGGGCCTGTGGTCCCATCTGAGGTTTGGGGATTTCTTGTAAACTGACTGGTTGATGACTGACATGAATTTCCTTGCAGTTGTAGATCCAAGGTCCCTACATCCTTGCTGGCTATCAATAGGGGACCAATCTCGGTCCTGGAAGCTGCTTGCTGTTCCTTGCCACATGGTCCTTTCCATAACAACATGACACTTTGCTCCTTTAAGGCCAACAGAAGAGTCTCTGATGCTTCCCTTTCCTTCCTTCCTTCCTTCCTTCCTTCCTTCCTTCCTTCCTTCCTTCCTTCCTCCCTTCCTCCCTTCCTCCCTTCCTCCCTTCCTCCCTTCCTCCCTTCCTCCCTTCACACAGGGTCTCCCTGTAGCCACAGCTGGCTTGGAACTCAGTATGTAAACCAGTATGGCCTTGAACTCACAGAGATCCACCTGCCTTTGCCTCCCAAGTGCTGGAAAAAAGGTGTGTGCCACAAGAGTGTGCCGTGCTTCCCTTTCTTTTAAAGGCTTGCCTGACTAGGTCAGGCCCACCAAAGATCATCACCCTCCCTCCTTCCCCCTTTGATGGACTCAAAATCAACAAATTATTAATATAGTCACAAGAATGATATCCCATCATATTCACTGGCCCTTCTCTCAAGAGAGGGGATTCCCTAAGGAACGGTCACCTGGAGGGGTGGGATTCCATCCTAGAATTCTGCTCCCTCAGCCACTGTGGACATACCAGCTGTGGCATGCTGTGAGGATTACAACAGCTGCAGCAGATGTGATCTTTCCATGCATAAAGAGACCTGCTGATGGGGTACCCTTCTCTCTTCCCACCTTATACAGGGTGGGATGCCTGTCTGCTGCTGTTGGATGGGTCTGAATTGATTTCATCAACTGACCTCTGCCTATCACCAGCACGTTACTGACTCTTGCTTTTTCTTGGCAGGTGGGCATGAAGACTTTTCAAAAATGATCGATGAAGCAGAGCCCCTGGGCTACCCAGTTGTGGTGAAGAGCACTCGGGGCCACCGGGGTCAGTGGTTCTGCTGAACTTTCTGGGTACTCAGCCCAGGAGGCTGTGTGCTACGGCACATCAGTTCTGCCTGGGGAACTCACAGCGTGTTCTGTCTTCTCTGCTCAGTCTCCACTGTCCTTTTGTCAGGCCCTCATCTCACCTTGGACTATTGCAACAGACCCTCCTCACACCACCACCCCATCCCACCCCACCCCTGCCCGTCCCACCCCACCCCGGTCCCTGTGCAGGTTAGATTCTCACATCCATGGCCAGCACATCTGCTCTTTCTTTGGAACGGTTTCTCTGAAGCAGATCTCTTCTTACCCTCTCGCTGTACAACCCTCCCAAGTCCCCATGTTGCCCATTGAGGCCAAGTTTCTTACAGTGGCACCAAGCCTGTGAGGACAGCTTCTACCTTCCTTTCAGCCTCCTTGGAGCATGTGACCCCCCCACAATCCATTCCAGACGCTGCTCACTCACAAGTAGGCCACACACTTTCCTCTCCATAACCATTTGCTGTCCTACTTTGCTGGAGTGCTGTCTCCTCTGCTCTGCTCATCATTTAAGGCCAGCTTCCAGCGTCATTTCTTCTTTCCATACCCCCATCGCCCTCCCTTTCTTCCAGACAAAATTAGTTGTGCTTCCCCTTTTTGTTTCTGTAGCATTTCACTCTTGCTTCTGACACATTGCTACATTTTCTGACAGTTTTAGGTTTAAGTGCTTATTCCCTTTATTAGATTGAGCTGCTCAGGGGTGGGGACCAGGTCCTGAGCATCTGTCTCTATAAGGCCCCTTACAGTGCTCAGTGCCGAGTAGAGACTTGGCAGGGGTATTGGCAGAATAGACTAGTCCTCCTGTGGTGGTTGAATAAGTACCTCATTATGCAACCCAAATGGCATAGCACAGAGGCTTGGGGCATCTGGAGCAAGGTGGGATAACCTCCACAGATATGTATTGACAGCTGCTGTGATATAGGAACTGATGTAGACGTGAATTAGACCCAACCCCTGCTCTCAGGCAGCTCACACATTACACATTACAGGTTGTTGCATTATAGGATAAGCAAACAGACATGTCCATGGTCCCCTTGGGCCTGAAGGATGGAGTAGCTCACTCAGTCTTTTTGATTTCTGCTTTGAAATCTGAGCCATTCTAATCCATTGAAACGCACGCACACGCACACACACACACACACACACACACACACGTAGACTCTCTCTCCAATGGACACTAACTGCCCCCTTAACTACATACCTCCAATCCCCTGCCACTTGGACTTCAAATCACTTACCTCCTTTTTTTTTCAGTCCTGTTGGGCTTCTGGGGTCCAGTCATTTCAGGAATAATTGAACACTGGTTATGTGGTTTTTTTTTTTTTTTCAGTACTAGAGGTTGAATCCATGGTCTCATGATTGCTAGTAAGTACTCTACCATGCACATGCATGTGCAGAGCCCACAGGAAGGTGTTAGTCCTCCTCTATCACACTCCACCACATTGCTTTGAGACAGCGTCTCTCCCTAATCTTGTAACTTGAGTTTTTCAGCTAGGCTAGTAGCCAGAAAGCCCCAGCAATCCTCCTGTGTCCACCCCGACTCATTTAAAGCTGGGATCACAGGTTTGCACAGGATGCCCAGCTTGTTATGTAGGTGCTGGGATTCAAACTCAGGTCCTCATGCTTGCATAGCAAACACTCTTCTGGGCTGAGTCACTTCTCTAGCCTTCCCCCACTCCTTTTTATTAAAACTCCAGAGGAATTCCACTCCCCTTGTGATGGTGACAGGAAACCTAGGAAAGCCATCTCTGTTCCATTTTTGCTCAGATCATGCATGTTGATGTCAGATTTGCAGAACAAACCTATTAGAAACCCTGCTAAGATCGGATCACAGAGATGCAAATGGATATCAGGTGCTGGAAGATTACAAGAGTGTATATTGGTGATTCTAACAGAAAATAAAGAATTTAGAATCAAGACAGAATGCTTTCCCAGAGGGCAATAGAAATATGAGCCATTCTCTACAGAGGATGGCAAATACTAAATTTCTTCTGCTTAAAAGGAAGAAGTGAGGGTCTGGGGAGATGGCTTGCTTGGTAAACTCCCAGTGACATCAGCCTGAGGACCTCAGTTTGGCGCCCCAGCACCCATATAAAAATCTGGGTATGGTAGCGCGTGCCTATAATTCTAGCACTGGAGAAGTGAAGACAGGAGGATCCCTGGATCTAGCTGGCCAGGTGGTCTTGCCCAATTGGTGAGCTTCAGGTCCCACTGAGACACCCTGTGTTTTGAAATAACATGCAGGGGCTCAGGGAGATGGTGGAAATGGCTCATAAAGCACTTCCTATGCCAACATGAGGATCTGAGTTAGAATACCTAGCACTCGGGAATGAATGTACATGTCTGTAACCCCAGCATTGAGGGGGGCGGTGAAGAGAGACAAGGATCTGAGAGCTCGCCGGCCAGCCAGTCTAGCCAGAACAATAAGCTTCTAGTTCAGTGGGAGATCCTGTCTTAAGGACTACCTTAAGTGGAGTGTAATAGAGGAGGACACCAGCATCCTCCTTTGGCCTCCACGTGTGTGCCATGTATGCATACACCCTCACACTCGCATGCATGCACTGCACACACATCTAACACATATATACAAATAAGGTGGAGAGCAACAGAGGAAGGCATCCAACAGTGATCTCTGGCCTCCACATGCACATGCACACATACCATGAACACATAAACACTTACCACACATATCCACAAAAATAGAGAAATAAAAGGTGAAAGGTGGCAGTGGCTCCCTCCTATGAGCTCCCATAGGCCTTTGCCATGGCAGCAGCATAGAACAGGTCCTGTATTTCTACATTGTACTTATCATTTTTGGCTCTCTCCATCCACACTTGGGATTCCTCTAAACTATGTTCAATTAATAATGTTCTGTAAACACTGATGGATGTCTGCCCTGTGTACCAAGCCCAGTGCAAAGTTTGGGGGGGGGATTAAAAAAAAGAGCTAGACATGAGCCCAGACTAATTGGCACCCTTGAGGTGGTAGGAGGCACTAATTAGCCACTTTCAAACTTATTGAGAGCTTTGGGATCTTGTTTTGGCCCCTTATCTGAGTTTCTGGAATACATTATTTCATTTTGAAAAAAGAACTTGTAATCTTAGCACTTTGGGAAGCTAAGCTAGGAGGATCCCGAGTATAATTGAAGGACAGCTTGGGAGATTGTGTGTGTGTGTGTGTGTGTGTGTGTGTGTGTGTGTGTGGAGAG